TGCTGCGGCCGGAGACAGAAGAGACCAGCATGCCCATGACCATGGTGTTCCAGAACCAGGTGGTGGAGCTCATCCTGCAGCAGTGCTCAGATATCTTCCCGCCTCACTGACTGCGGACCTGGGACTGGGGACCGCTGGAGGCCACCCAGCTGGACTTCAGGAGACCCTCCGCCTCCCACCGGTCTGCAGGCGGTTGTGACATCCGCACCCCTCGGTTCTGAGGCTATGGTGACCCCTGGTGGGCAGTTCGCAAAATGTGATTTTTCTGGGGCATGTCCTGTTTGGGGTTAATTGGGCTCTGCTTTCTATGGCAGCGCCGCCTGCTGTGCGCGTGCGCATGCGACAGCGTGTGTGGGTGAGTTTTCTGGGAGAGACCATCCTGGGAGGAGGAATTTGGTGAGGGGCTTCCTGGCTTCTTCAGGCCTTCACCAAGATCCCGTGTGCCCCAGGCCTGTGCGGACCATGAAGCAGCTAAGACAACTTCCCCGCTGCCCAAACAGGACTGACCCGGCCTCCAGCGTGGGCAGCTGGACCTGCCTTCCTCGGGCCTCAGGGATGACGCTGCCACGGGCCCCTCTGGCAGGCTGCAGACCAGTGTCACCTGCTTTCCTGTTCTGGCTGCATGCATCTGCCCTCCCTGACCCACTCGTGTTCTGTGCAAGGGTTCTTCATGTTGGCTAAATGTGCTCCCTGAACCTGCCACTTGACACGCACCATTTCCACACACCATCCCATTTTACAGATGAGGAGACTGAGGCTGGCAGAGGCAGAGTGACTTATTCAGGGTCCAGTGGATGATCTGACTCCCCAGAAAAGGCTCCCCCCACACTAGAGCACAGCCAGGGGAGGGGTGGAGAGATCAGTCCTTTCAGCTGCCCATCCCCCAACCCCAGCATGGGCCTGTGAGCAGAGCAAGGGGACTGAGCTGGGTGCGTTCTGTCTGGGCCTGGGGAGGTCTCTGAAGGCAAAGAGGGAACCTGCCCCAGCTGTTCTCTCTTGGGGGACAGGGCAAAGCACTGGCAGGAGCCGCCCACCCCTCTTAGCCCTCTAGCTGTCGAGCATTCCCGCCTGGTGCCCACCTAACGTGAAGAGCTGGGAGAGGCTGGGGGCTGAGGAGAAGGAGGATGCAACCCCAGGATCGCAAGTGTGAACCCTGGGGTCCGCAGCCCCTTCCCTCCTCAGACATGAGCCACCTCAGCTTACAGATCTTGGCTCCCAGCCCCACCCACCTATTCGTTCATTCAACAAATGGCAGCTACTATTTATTGGACATTTGTACCATGCCAAGCATTTCCCTTGGCCTCAGCGTTTCTCAGCCAATATCTATTGTCCGCTCTTCTGGACCAAGCACTGTGCCCTGGGGTGGGGACTGCACACGCTGCCTGCCCTGCTGGAGCTTATGGTCTGGTGGGTGGGGCTGACCCACACCCACCCCAGTGCCAGCGGGGCCAGGGCAAGAGCACACACGGAGGCCTCACACCGTATGTCTAGACATTTGGAAGTTATAAATCAAGCTGGCAACTGTTAAATAAAATATGTTCTATTCTCCTACTCTGACAGATATGCTTTGTTAATGACCTGCAGGGCCAGGTTCTAGTTTAAATTCCTGTGACTTCCACGTTCCCGGCCCCAATGCGGGCATAAGAAGAGCTGGCCTGGCCCTCAGCTGCCGCTTGTCTTCCCACCCTCAGAGCCATCTTGGCCCAAGGAGAGGTTCACATGCACACGTGTGGACACTCTCGTCCCTCTGTGCAAGCTGCCCGTACCTCCTGCAACCCGCTGCCACTTGGCCAGCCCACCGGTGACACAGTCCACCCTTGAGAGACATTCTGGAGTCTTCCACATTGGGAGTGTGGCCTAAAGGGGAGGGTCTGGCCTTCGAGAGGGCCCTACACAGTCCTTATCCTGCGAGGGAAGCGGCAGACAGAGAAGGTCTGGACTGGAATCTGGCCAAGCAGGGGACCCATGGCAGGGATCCCCCTCACCCGAGTCTACGGGCGGAACTGGACAGACCTTGAGCAACTGATGACTTAGTCAACCACTGTATAAGAGCTGGGAGAAGCGCAGGGTGCTCTGAAGGTGTGTCAAGGGGGTGACCAATGTCCAGGGATCTGAGATGCCTCTGCAGAAGCCGCATTTAAGTGAAGCAGCAAAGAATAAAGAGTCAACCAGAGAAGGGGTTAAGGGAAGGGTGTCTAGTCAGAAGGAACAGCATGTGTGAAGGCTCTGGGGCAGGAAGGCTTGTGGGGAGAACAAGGTCTGAGAGAAGACCATCATGGCTGGAGCCCAGAAAGCCACTGGGCATGGGCACCAGCTGAGCCAGAGAGCTGGCAGGGGACAGAGCATGTCAGGCATGTGGCCGAGAGCTTTGGGTCACCAGGACAACAAGCTGGAGCATCCTTGGGCAGGGAGGTCTTGAGAAGTGTCTGCTCCCCACCCCGACCTCAGGCTTCTCACTCTGCCAAGGCCTCATGGGAAAATAATGTAGCAGCAGGCAGAGAAGTCCTAGAATCGTCACATTTTGTCACAAGGAGCACCTTCAGAAATCACCCATTGCCAATGAGAAAACTAGAGAGACAACGTCATAATTCACCTGAGGTCACTGGCAGGTTGCTGGCAAGGCCTGGCCCAGAGCTTTGTTTGCACAGTCTGAGGACCTACTGTGTATCCCACCGAAGTCTGAGGCGCAGCAGACGTCCTCAACACTGAGCACAGCACGTGATGGGCACTGTAGGTGCACTTCCAAGATGTCTTGAATGAATTGGACTTTGTCCGGAGACACAAAGACATACAGAAACAGGAGCAGCCCTCTTGAGGCTCTATCTGGTTGGGGAAGGGACATAAAAAGGAGTGACAGTGGCACAGCTGATAAGCGGGCACAGGGGCCTGTCCCCAAGCCTACAGCCTCCTAGCAGGAAACCCTAGGTCCTCCTGCAGCCTGGAGTATGTCCCTGCAGCTACTCTTGAAAAGGTCATGGTGCCCACCCGATTGCTAAGTCTGGTGGACACATGAACTGCCTGCTGTCCTCCTTGAGACACACTGCTGTCCCCAAGCAACACGGGTCCTCTCCCTCACCCCACCCCTCCCTTCCTCAGCTCCTCCTCTTCTGCCCACCCTGTAAATGGCGATGCCCCAGGTTGTGCCCTCCCTGAGGGCCCTCATGCCTTCCACTGTGGGGACTCAGCCACCAAGCCTGCGCATGTGTCACCCAAATCTCTATCACCAACCCAGACCTCTCTCCCAAGTATGTGCAAAGTCCACCGGCTTGCAGGACACCTCCCCGTGGATGGCTGCCAGAAACCCCAAGTGCAACCTGCCTGCAACGAAACTCCCAAACCAGCTCTTTTCCCTATTTCTGAGCACGGCACCTCCAGTCCCCAAGTCCCTGTCTTCTACCTTCTAAATATGTTCCAGATCTGCCTCTTCCACCCTCCCTTAGCCCCTCCCATCTGGGTGAACACAGCAGCCTCTGAAAGGGCTCCTCGCCCCATTCCATCCTCCACCCAGCAACCGTCTGACCACACCACGTCCCCAACCTCCGC